ATAAAATGGGCCATTGAGTTGCCTGGCAAAGGAGTGATGCTCATCTTCCCCAGCATTTTGGGTAGCTTCCAATCCGCCGCCAAGGCCTGCCCCTGTGTTGTTCGATCTGACGCCTCAATCTTAATCTCCTTTTATCAATCCCAGGGAACTTCTTCCGCAGCATCCCGCCCTTCTCACAGCGGTGGATTTACATCAATCCCAGTCCCGCGTGAGTTTAGATGAACTTGTGATATCAATGTACCGCGGCAAGGTACCACCAGCGCAGAGCCCCTCTGTTTCTGTGTACAGACTCGGCCGGTGCGTCCGGAGCAAAGTCAGGCCGGTAGCAGGACAGGCAATTAGATACAGCCGTGTCTGCACTGGAAGGACACGGCTGTGGGGCTAGGTAGCCGGTGCATGTTTGGCGCGCAACTAGCAGCTCGGGACGCTGCAATGCCGGCGCCACAGGAGAAGAAGCATAACAGACGCACGAGTCAAAACATGAACCGCTCAGAGACGGGTGAAGGCACCTGTTCATGATGGCCTATGATGGAGTGGAGACAATGAGCGTTTTGGGCATCCCGAGAGCGGGTCTTGGCTCTTCAGACTGGTTCCTGGTGAGGAAGAGTAGGTATCATGGCATGGACCCAGTTGAGTTGGGTCTCAGAGCATCAAGAGCCAGGGCTTGATTCAATCATTGAGGTTTAGCTGACGCGGCAGCTCTTGTCACTTGTCAAGTCGAGTCCGCTGAGGGAGAAGGCTTTTAGGAGAGGCTGTAGGACAACAGAGGAGCCTCCGCTTGAGCGACCGTGCGCATCGTCGCGCCCGTTGCTCATTCGAAGACCAGATTTGAAGTTCACGGCCACTCGGATTCATGTCCGCTCTGAAGCATGAAGTACAATGAACCTTGACTCCAATCTGAACTCACGAATGAGGCACTGTATGGAACAGTGATTCCAAGTATTCGGGTACATTTGATCGTCAAGAAGCCAAAAACAACACCCGTGCACTCGGATCACGTAGACGTGTCTCATCTCATCGAAGGTTATTTGGTGTTTGGATATCCGATATCTTAGACGAGGCCCCTGGCACAATCGTCTTGATGTCTAGCGTGTTTATCGAATGGACCAACTCTGGCTCCATTGGGCAGTAGGCACATTTAGACTGCAACCGCAGACGCAACGTTGTTTTTGCTAGCGGCTCTATCAACCAACGTGACCCAAGGGGGTAATCGCTTGGCGCCATGATACATAACAGGGTTGTGATGGAAAGGACCTTTCAGCTGGTACCATTGCCAACAAGGGGCAGGGCTGAGAAGATATTGAGATGCCCGCCGCAAACTAGGGATTGATGAAGTGATGAGGCCATCACTTACATGACATCGGACAGGCCACAGGTGTACAGTAGCCAGTCCCATGTCACTTGGGAGGAACAGGAGTGTATAGTGTGTGTCCAAGGGTGCAGATAGGTCGAGGAGCCCTTTCAGTCTCCATCCATCAGAACCTTGTTGGGGGCTGTTACTGGGGTCATCTCAGGATCTTTTGTTCTGCCAGGCTCCATTCAATTTGCCTTAGCTCGTCTAGGCTTGAGCTCACGGTACTTGGCCAACCCCTGCGCGCCTCCCGCCTTGTCTCTCCTGGTCAAGTCAAGTCAGTCTTTTGGAGGTGCAGAAGTAGAAGCGCGCTACCGACTGAGTGCCGGGGGCCCACTGCTCCCCCATTGTCTACCCCGGTACACCTTCAAGAGAAGCGGCGGTCGTCTTTGCTCAACTGAATCATTTTGGCCTTGTCTTGATAGCATCCATTAGAAGTCGTATGTACATACACTTATCTCGAAGAGGCAGAATTCGGACTAGTCGCTTGGTCATGGATGTCATATCAGTCATGTCATGGCTCTGCAACACCTTTTCTTGACTCGACATTCTATCGCCCCTGCAAACATCCCAGTGGTCAACTGATACTCACTCAGTCTACCTTACACAGCTCCTTTAACACTGTCGATGTTAGATTATGCGGCGTTTGGTAGAACAGAGGAGGCGTTAATGCACCCGTAAAACCGCCGAGACATGCAAACGGAACGATTTATCTGGCTCTTTGGCGTTCCCAGAGCGCCATGTTTTTTGCCAAGGCAATATGTACAACCACACGTACACCGTACGTCTATTATATGGGATTCTAGCAATTGCCATCATTCACTGGGCAACACAACTACCGCGGCGCTGGCGGTAGAGTGATTTGGAGTGATGGGCTCTATCTTGCATATGGCAAACGTGAACTCCACACCCTCTCGTCCACTATTGCCACCGGCATTGGTCCCTGTAGCGCGTTTATCTCATGTTGTTCCTTCTGAGCACCTGCAGTATCGACGTCGTCCACTGTTAGGCTACGCGTTGTCTTGGCTTCCGGACTAGACGTTGCTGTGGTTGCCTCAGGCGTTACCCCTTGACATGGAACATCCCGTGTCGTCGCTGCTTAATAAGTTCATCATGTTGTACATGGCTCAGAAGACTCGAGATAATAGGTATGGTGCTGTACCGTTGGGTGTTTGCTAATGATGCCGTGGCGGCGCCGGTAAGGCCCCATTTCCGTGATACAGTTGGCTTTTCGGACTGCATCCGTCCTTGCAGCTTTCGGCCGGCGCTTGACAATGGAGGAGGGAAGGAAGGAGAAGAGTTTGCGTCATGGAGCATGCTGACTTCAGGTTGGTGTTGACCCTTGGAATCCTGCTCGGGCTGTCATTTACTGCGCAGAGGCAGGGGAAAGGCGAACAACCAACCATTGAGTGAATCTCTTTGCCTACCTAACCAGAGACAAATGCAAGAGGGTTGCGGCGGGGTGGTAAGGCATGTCTGCAGCGTCATCGATCTGCTCCTAACTTGAGGCTAGGGAGTAATGCCTCTCACAACTCACAAGCCCAGGTAAGGCCTCAGCACAATCGCAGGCAAGGCTGTTTAGTTAAGTTAGGTTAGGTTAGGTTAACGTCAGGTAGTTGTCGTTGTTGTTTGTGCCTTGCCTTTAGCTGCCGCCATTGTTGGTCTGCTATAAGCATTGCATCACATACGGCGGTTCTGTGCTTCCGAGGACGATGTCTTCACTCAACCCGATCTGATCCACTTGGAAGGAAAACAGAGTTTCCTTGGCACTCATCACAGGGTTCACGATACGACACTCGACCTTGCTGAGGTGGCAGCGTGAGTCTTGAGCCCTCGAAACCCCGCCCTATTTTGTGTACGTATTTCCATGAAGAGGTATCGTGGTGCATGTAGAGCGGGACAGGGAGAAAGAGCAATACTAGGTAGGTCTCGTAACTAGGTACTAGGTATTATGCGTCAGCATATGACAAGAGATGCGACGCCTGTGGTCTAGGGTAATCTTCAAACAAAGACAGCTGTGGCTACAGATTTAAAATGAGTGTGCCATTGAGGTGTAGTTAAACAGTCTAATGACATGAACATCTCTGGCATGAGACCCTCTCAATATTCATATGCCTACTGCTATAGCATTAACTTTGGGCCAGGAACGCCGGTCTTGGGGCGCGTCACTTAAGCGGGAGCCGTTTTCTAAGCAAGGAGCATCCTCGCAGCGCAATTGTGTCAGGCGTGCATAGCCGCTTCAACCAACAGATATCGCCCGCCTCACTTGTTAACGACCAAACGGAAACCTTCAACTCATTAGGGAGAGTTCCCTTCTGTTTTACCCCAGAGTGTTCTCCATTTGCCGCGACAGAGGAAGCTTGCAAGACAAGTCTGAACAGGGTAAGACAAGCTCCCCCCCCCCGGCCTTTCACAACACAAAGCTCCAATCGGTGTGGCCTCGGCCACTTGCTTCTGAGACAGAGTCAAGGCTCGTTTTGAGAATGGGCTGACAAGAGTCCGATTTCGAACCCAAACAGTATGCTACGTAGCATGGCGCATCTGTATAGTCCCACCACCGAAAGAGCATAAAGGAACAGGCACAAAGGTCACAATGTTGCAAGAAACAATAAGGTAGTTGGTGAAAAGGGAAATTTACAAACTCTCCTGCCCAGGAATCCATGCCACCAACAAGCATTACTAAATAGCCCCCAGAGTTATGCGTGAATTCGAAGATAAAGCCGCTTTCTAAAGTTGTAGATTACGAATATTGAAGAAAATGGGTATGTATATATGTGTTTGTGTGTGTCGACCTGCTCCTATTCAACCCCCAGGGAGAAGTCCATAGAGATATTGCAGACATAATGTCTCCACTGCAGCAAGTCACTTACATAGAAGATGGGAACATTCAGGAGACTATAACCACTCAAATTAAGCTAGTCTAGGTCAGCTGAGTATCATATCGCCATGCTCACTGCTAGATGGCTTCTTCTAACCGCAGCGCCATCGACCAAATCATCCTCAACTAGAGCCACCAGATAACTATCCCGAGTCCTCAAGTGATTCAAGTTCTCCTTCCAGCGCCCTCGCAGCAACGGAAGTTTGAAAGAGGAACAAAGGTACAAAACCTGAGGTCCTCAGCAGTTCAGGGGTCGGAAACTGCGCAGAAGGTAATATACAGCGAGAAAGGACGGCAGGTCGACAAAGGCACCTATGTATGGTATCGACGAAAAAGAATAAACAGGTACACATTAACCGGTGGGTCATGACCTCATGAAGTGAAGTAAAACACCAAAAAAAAAAAAAAACACAAAACAAGAGAAGTGCGGTGAGGTACTGGGAGAACATGCCTCGAAGTTGTCGAGGTAAACTGGTTGCCGTTGGAGATGGCGCCCCTCCAGAATCCAGCCGAAGTAGGGACGTGGTTTTAAGTCGAAGTTTTTCGAACGACATGATTCGAATTTTGGTGTCAAGAGCCCATATGCTCATGCTGGGGAACCTGAATTGAATCTCCATGTTCGAAAATAGCAATGGACTTCCCTGGTCCGAAAACAACCCCATACACCTTTCCAGAACGCCAAAGGTATCAGATCAGACACGTATGCAGCTTGCTAAAATGACAACAAACCCCAGAAATCGGGAATCTTTTCTTTTCTTTCTTCTTATTTGCTCAGACACGTGGTGGTGCACCACCTCGCCCGTGACCGAGAGACTCGAGGAGCTCATGAGGCGGGATGTGTCGCATTCCACTGCCCCGGTCGTACATGGACGTAGGTGCAGGGACGTAGCCCTCTCGCTTCTTGCGAATGCGATCGAGAATAATGCCACAAAGGACGAGGAGGAGCATCAGACCAAGCGCAATAGCAAGTCCGATAAGAACCACAAAGCCTAGGGCCATATGCTTCTCTTAACATGAGGTTAGTACGGTTGATTAGCCGCAAGATCGGTGATACACTTACCTTCTTTGAAGAAACTGTCACGCTGGGTGAAGATGCCAGCAATAGTGCCTGGACCATCACCCGCCTTGATTGTCATCGCATATGGTTGGTATGTAGTGCCGTTAAAGAGAGCTGCCGAGGCAACTCCAAAGCCAGTCATGTCGATGGATCCTGTCAACATCAAAACCTGGTTTTTGTCCAACAAGTCGGCGGCTTCGTGATCCTCAGTCACCGAAAAGACCTGCAAGCCGCGTATGATGGTGCCTGAAGAGAGGGAAGGTCCGGCAGTATGCCACTTCTCACCATCATACTTCATGATGAAGACACTGTCATCCTTGAGCGAAGTACCAGCAACCCAAAGCTGGTCGTAATCGATTGACCCAGGCGAGATAACCGCAACAGGCCCTGGAATGTCTTCGGAACCGGGGAAGTTTGACCAGGACTCTGAGTTGGCGTCCCAGCTGGCAAGGAAGCGCTGGTCAGATCCGTTACCGCGGAGATCACCGCCAACAACCAACTGGTTCTTACTCAACCACAAGAGGCTATAAACGGTGCCCTCAAGCTCGCTACCTGGACGGTTCCATTGGCCAGAGTTGACATTGTAGGTGCAGAGACCAGGACAGTCCAATGCACCCGCAGTATCGAACGAGCCGCCAACATAAACGTCTCCAGAGTCTCCAGGGCGGACGGCAATAGCTGCGACGGTACTGTTGGCCCCCGACACAGAGGCGGGCTGCGAATTGAAAGATTTCGCCTCCAGATCATACGAAACAAGACCACGGATATCTGTTCCATCTATGGTGCCGCTGATATCACCACCTGCGAACAAGATACCATTCCGCACAGCGAGTGCGACAAATGTAGAACCATTTGAAATGTCAGAACCAAGTCCAGCCACATTGTCATCCTCAAGGAGCACAATATTTTGTACCTTATCGCCTTTTGTCGACTCAGTCGTAAAATGACCTGCTAGGATGGTGATGTTGTAATCATTTTCGTCGTAAAATATACCAGTCACAACGCCCGTGGTGTTTTTATTGAAGGAAGTAACATCTCGACGGCTTAGTGCAGATGAGCTTGACGACGGAGTAGCGGCACGGATCTTGAGAGGGAACTGACCAAGACCATCGTCCGAGAGGGTAGCGGCGCCGTTTGTACCGAGTTGTGCGGACGAGAGCGCTCCAGCGTATAGAGACCCGCCGTCCATGGGAATATCTAGGACAGCGGCTGTAAGTGAACCATCAAAAGCAGGGTAGTTGCCGTCGATGTTTTGCAACCAGTTGCCTCGAGAAGCTACCCATATGGCAAAACCATCCACGGAAATGGCATCGTGGTTGTCGAAGGAGTTGCATGAAGAAAATTCTCCCGTGAAAGCAATCACAAGTTCAGGATTTTCGGCAGTGATGTTTAGCATCAGTGGCACGGCACGCATCACCGGGCCATTGAGGCCAGCTCCTAAAGCACCCCACTTGTCTTCCTTGGTGTCGTAAACTGCGACGTTATCCAGGCCGGTCACGGGTCCGCTGTCAGTGTTGGAAAAATCACCGCCGACATAGAGCTGCGTAGCGTTGAGGTACATGGCGAAGACTTCGCCATTCAAACCGCCACCAGGCTCCTTCACATCGTCATTTTCGATAATAGCGAGGATGTTGTCGTGATCCTTGGAGGTGAAGTTACCACCAACGTAGGTAGTATTACTATCCGTGACCAAAACGCTTACACCCGAGGCCCTATCAAAACTTGCTCCAAGTTTATTGATAGGAGAGTTCACAATACTAGTAGCGTTGACTACTGCTTGCTCAGGATCGAAGTCGAAGAGACCGTTGAGGCCACCAGTGGAGTTGGTGAGAGTGAATTCAACCCTCTGAGCGACAATTGTAAGGGTGTCGACATCTTGACCTGCAAGTGGGCGGAGAGTGACAGAGGGGGTGAATGAACCCGAGCTCTTCTCAATGTATCCGAAATATATCTGATCGTACTTATCAAAATCGTTTGTTTGATATAAAGTCGATGTAAAATTAGTATCCTTATCATCATCACCTGACATGACTCCGGTAATATTGACGCGGCCTCGAGTAGCACAGGTGTCATCAGCTTGACAGCCTGGGGTGTAGATGTTGACAGAGTAGTTTCCAGATTCTATGATGTTGGGAAAGAATGTAACAGATATCTTTTCGGGGTCATAGTCACCGTTGAGCTCGGCAGTCAGATACTCGGAACTGCTCTCTAGCGAGGGAGAAACCTTCCAAGGCCCAGTGTGAGTAGCCGAAGCTGGGTTCTTAACTCCACCACATTTGGGCTCGTTGAACTCGGTAATAGCATAGGCAAAGATGTCACTCTGGAATAGCTCAATAGACTCCAGACCACCTCCACTGCCATACCAGTCGGAAATAGCAATGCGAAACTTATTCATGCCGACGCGATTGACAAATGTGAAATCCTGGTAATCTTCTTCGTCGCGGAGTGGACACTCGCTAGTACAGGTGATGTTGTTACCACTCTCAGGATCGACGTAGGTCAAATTCATGATTCCATTGATAGGATACGCAAGGAAGCGGAAAGTCTTGGTGCCACGACCGTCCTGGCGCGTGTTCCGAAGTCTGAGCTTGGTGGGCGCAAACCCAAAAGAAAAATCTGCTTCCCAGTACCCCGGTGTATCGTCTTGTAATAACCAAGGAGTCGAAGAAGAACCGGGGCATACGATGTCCTTGGGGTCGGTGCCAGATGATCCATTTTCGTCCGTGATGTTGGCTGTCGATAGATTGATGACCTGGCTTGAAGAGCTATTGGGTGTACTCGAGTTTCCAAGACCAGTAAAGGTTCCGCCGAAAATAATGTGTCCGTTGGAAGCTTTTGTGATGGCCTTTACAGGGCCATTGAAGCCGGCGAACGGCAAATTTGTCCATCCATCCGTACCAACCCAGGCAATGGCGTTCGTAGAGTTGGCGCCCTTGAAATTGCCACCCACATAGACCGTGTCTCGTTCCTGATCGCAATATAGTGCGTTGACCTCGCCCTCAATTCCGTCCAAGGGGGTGATCTCGGTCGTGTTGGGGTTGAAAAGAGCAACTGCCTTTGACTGCGTCCCGTCCAGGCTCGTGAAATTACCGCCAATTACCACTCCTTGCATATCTCCGTTACTGAGCTGGAACGAGCACATGGCTCTAATCGACGCATCGGTGGATAGTATCGAGGCGAACGCGCCGTTGGGCATCTGTGCCAGAAGTGACTCGCTGCCGTTGGAGCTGCGAGTGCTCTCTTTTTGTCCCTCATATTCATAAAGTGAAATTCCATCATAATCTCCAACTATGCCGATCCTGCCCAGGTTAGAGAAGTCTAGATTTGGCGACGGCACAGGATTGAATGTTATGGCATGCGTGAGAGATGGCGCCAGAGCTGCTAAAACCGCCAGGCTGGGACCCAGAACGGGACCTCGGCTGTGGCTTTGGCGTGCCGATGGGCTACGCCGTTGGAAAGGTAATCGCATAACTATAAATCGTCACCTAATATTAAAATGGTGTGTCCGGCCGCTGAATCCGTGTCGTGTCCCTGCTCAGGGAAGTCAAATGCCGTGGTCGTTGGAATTGAATTTGTTCGTGCATGCATCTCAGGATTAAGTGCGGGCCATATCAAGGGGCGAAGAATCGCGTTTTCAAAACGGTCGAGAGCGGGAGTGATGCGAATCGAGGCGTCCGCTGAGAGGTATCCGTCTGACTAAAAACCCGAAAATGCGAAAAACCAGGTTCTCTGTAGTCGTGGAGTTTGTCCGTGGTCAAGATGGTAGGAAGAAGAGTCGTTGAATGTATGTGATCGAGGTGTGAAGTTGCAGTTTGAAAGATTCAAGTTGAGCAACAGGCAATGCTACTGCAGCACGTATGCGGGAAATTGCTAGCGATGGCGATGCCCGTTCTCTCGGCGTGCATTGGATTTCGAGGATCTAGCCACTAGCTGATTACGGTTAGGTCGTTCCTTTTACTGTAATGCGGTACCTGAAGCACTTGGCCTGCATGGGTGTCGGGTGGGATGACGACAAACAAATCATCAACCGAAATAACAGCGTCGTAATGGATGGAGTGATGGGAATAGAGAGCAGACCAAGGTCATATGAAGATAGATTGCATAACCAGAGCAATTCGGAATCATATGTTGTACCCAGGATTTGTGAGAAAAGACATACCAAGCGGTTTCAAGGTGTACGACTGTGGTACGGATCACAGCCACGGGTAGGTAGTAGAGTGCGCCACCTTACTGATTCAGGAACCAATGAACTTGAGAGGAGCAACCCAGAGTTTAATTATCGGCGAGCTTCGTCCTCGTATCAAGTGATCTCGTCACCGGTGATGATCAATTGACTTTGCAGTTCTTCGTTGAACGGTGAGTTTCTCGCAAGTCCTGTCAGCTTCGGAAATGTGGGGTGACGGACGGGATGCCTTTTTAATTGCGTGTCTCGTGAGTCCTGTACGCGTCCGTGTTCTCCGGTCAGGTATTTGAGCGGCGTGCTGGGAAGAATGAGGAACCAGATATCGTGTCTCCGGGTCGACGACGGCTGGAATGCAGAGTTAGGCCACACAAGATGGGTGGGAGATGCCGGATTGCTGCAGCTTGGCGAAGGGACGGGAAGCAAGTCGAGATAAGAAGAGGAGGCGGTATTAATGAGTGCGAATACCGTAGTGTCAGTTGAAGTAATTATTGAACGGTTATGTTGATTGTAGAGTCGACTGGGCGGTGTATTAGGAATAGCACAGTGGCCGTGCTGGGAAATACAAACAATAGAAAGAAGAAGAAGAAACAGTGTTTAACGAGTGACAGTTTGCAAGGCAATGTAAGGCAAGGCAATGCAAAGATAAGTATCCCCTCCTCTCACAGAAGCTCTAATGCTAAGAATTATCGCGGAGGATGAGGTGAGAATTAGGAGAGAGGGAAGAGTTGATCCCACGTTTAGGTTGGCCTTGGCTTCCAGGGGATAAGTGGAGCCTCTGTTTCTCGCGCCGCAAGCCTGCTAGGAAACTACCAAAGGCGCACATGGAATTCATTTGCACCCAGTCCGTACTTAACAATTGATCTTGAATATGTCGCAAGCGCTGATGCTATGCGATACGAGATATTCTTGCTTCTGCAGGGGGGGGGCTTGCATGAAGAGTTAACCGCTGAGTTATCTACTCCATTTGCTGACCTTTGGTCTTCAATTCCTGATCTCGACTTCTGACCGTTGAAGTACTAACCCTTGTCAAGCTATGGCTTGGAAGATGCTTCTCCGTAGCAGTGGTCTTCGAGACTACTTGGCCAGACAAAAAAAAAAAAAAAAAACTAGCATAAAGAGGCGGTGGGTAGCATTGTTTCTGCTCCATTTACTTTTTACCTCTTCTCGCGCTAAATTCAGGAGGCTGGTAATAAGGCAAGGATTCCTGGATGTGGCTTCTGGCACTATGTGTTGTGTACCTCTTGTCAAGCATTGTTCCAAGTCCTGCGTATTGTGCTAACAAGTGAGTGGTTCTCAAGCATGATGGTACAGGTATTTTGAACGGATTCATATGTTCCCTTCATTTTGACAGAGCTATACAGCCTTGAAATAATCCGTCGCGGGGCTGTGGATGTTGATAATCGATCCAGCTTTATCCACTAACTAGGTAAGCAGCGTTATACGAGACATCAAAATAGCCCGGTAGAGCAACGTGCAGCCACCTAAAATTATGAGCTACAGATACACACAATCGGAAGCAATGGCAGTTGTAGTTTCTTGCCTCTGTCTCATACTTACCTATGGATACGTTCTGCAACACCACCACAAAGTAATTCATCAGATGAAACCACTCCCGTCTGTATCACACCCCTTGCTTAATAAGAGACAACTTCGTTTCCTTGCCTCTGGCGCCGGGTAAGTCAATGTCCGCCAACGTGTCAAACAACTATTGACTCAGAACTATCCAGCGTCCATAATGCGTTCAAGGTGTCCTTCAATGCATTGATAAGCAAATGCATGTTCCCAGGGCACTGCGAAGCTAATTATATGTCCGCTGATCCTACACTCTCCTCACTGACTACCTACACATCCCAGGCCGAATCTATGTTCTGACAGCATGACGAGCTTATTATATTGCCAAAAATAAAGCAGGCATCGATTTGGTAAATTTGGCATCCGTCGGAAATCTCATAATTGATTTTAAACCTTGCTTCATTCTTAATATACTGGATCCTTGGACATGTCTAAAATGCTACGCAACCCGAATCAAACCGTGGTTTTAGAATCATCATAATTCATACTCGGCATCTTCAAGTGCCGGGTTTTTCTTGATCAAAGCCAGCCCATTTCGTCTTGTAAGCTCTTGGGCTCTCGAAATCCTTGGACTTGCCAGACCACATCCCCTTTCGTTTCTGCTTCGCCTTAGCCTCAGCCCTTTCGTAGATCTTTTGTCGTCCGCCAAATTCAGCCCCTTGCTTGGCTTCGTAAGTTGTTGCCATGCCGGCCTTTATCATCTCGAGACCCACGTCCTTGCGAAACAGCCACCGCCGCGTATACACGGTCGCGACGATTCGATCGTACTGATCTCGCCTGTAGACGTATGCGCGGACGTTGCGCTTGCTGATGTAGTTACGCAGCCAGGCGAGAGCTTCGGCGGAGAATGGTTGCGCTGGCCGCCCGAAGTGGGCACATTCTGGGGCATCAACGCCAGCAATACGAATTGAGATCTGCCAAAGCGTTGTAAGTATGCACATGGGGCTACTTGGGTCGGAATCATACTGTTTGGTCTTTCAACTCTTTGCGAGCTTCAGGAACCTTTCTCAACCAGCCCCAACCCAAAAGTCGACCGCCAGGCGTGTGGAAGAGGTGGAAGTTGTCACCATCACCGACGCTGGTAACTCGCCCAAAGATGCTTCGGTTACGAAAGAAATTCGGGCGCACATATGCTGATCCGGGTATTCGGCGAACATAATTTGTGTAGATTTGTAGAGCTGCCATGCCAGCGAGCGGGAACAGTACAACCGGCGCCCATTCTCTAGCTGCATCGACAGGTGCTGATCGAATGCGGTTTATCGAGTCGGTCCATGACACATGCTGCCGTTTCGCCTCTTCTTTGAGTTTCTGCTCTTTCTCGTTGTCGGCGTCCCGCGATCCGAACGGCCATATCATTGTCGTGGCGACCCTAGGGTCGTCTTTGATGATGGTGTATCAAAAAGAGCGGCATGTGTCGGCGTGATCTTGCTCACCATCTTAAGGACCCTTGAAGTTCGAATACCCACCGCTGATTGGGGGTGGTGCCTAAGCCAGCTAACACGTCAATTAGGTGCCACTATGTGGAACTTGGGCAATATCTCTGTATGTAGACGACTCATATTCTGCCCAGCTTTTTGATCAAATAATTGTTCATGGTCGTGGAATTCAAACTGTAGGTAGGTTTAACAGTACCATTCGCTTAACTACCAACTACCCGCGACTAACCGCCCTATCTAATAGGCTCAACAACTAACTGAATTACTGAAAAACGTCAGAGCAGACAATACCATGGGTACAGGATTTTAGTTTCCTTGCACCTTGAAAGTTCTGCCGCTGGCAGTCTTTCTCTCCTTCTCCTCGTTCTCGGGGCGGGCACGGCGCAGCACTGAGCACCGTTAGTTATCCAGATGCGCCGATGTATGGGAAATGTTTTACCTTGGAGGAAGTCAGCAGTTCGCTTTCGCATGCGCGAGTGAATATAAGCTTTTGAGGCCTTGATATGGTAATGGAAGTAATCGCGGAAGGTCTGAATATGAGAGATGACCTCAGTCATTCGCTGAGGAGTTAGATGCCGAGGGAAGAGGACTGCAGCTCAATTAGTTATCACGTTGGCGGTGTTAGCTTGTAAAGCCTACCAAAAGTCACATAACCAATATCTCCAGACCCAGAGTCCTGGACCCCCGGGACACCCTGTAGCTCTAGAGGGGCGTCGTTCCTGAACAAGACCTGGGGGGCATTTTGAATCGCTCTCCTTCGAGCATCGACGAATTCTTGGATGAACACCTTTCCAAATACTCGGTCGGTTTCTTCGCGAAAGACGGTGCTAAAGATGACGGTGACTCGGTCGTGGCTGGCCTTGACATAGATGGCCTCCTCCTCTCGGTAGTGAATTGCCTTAACTTCGCCTCCCTCTCGAACGCCCTGAGGAGCTTCTTCCGAAGTAAATTTGGAAGCCTCCTCCTTCAATGCGTAATGCTCCTTGTAAGCTTGCTCGAATGGTGCGGCCATAGCGTTGCGCTTCAGGAGAGCGAATTTGAGTGCTAGCTCATTGCGTTCCTCTGTTCAATCGTCAGCATTGTCGGCCTTGACTGTGGAGAGCATATCGCTGTACCCTTTGATTCCGGGAGGTTCTCCAAATCCACAAGAACAGAGAAGTCGAAGCCCGGCTCAACCGATGTCATGTAGTCGCCATACTCTCGCTGGAGAACTTCCTCAGCTCCATACTTGACAAGGTCGGGGAAGCATCGTATTTGGATCGAAAGAAGGATCTGGGT